CGTTAAGTTAAATGTCTTGTATAGCTTCACAAGAGTTTCTACTTGTCTGTTTCAATAATAAGGATGGACTTTTTAAAGGTTTAAAGCTTAAATTGTAAAAATTCTAAAACCCACCGAAAAGGCAATTCGGATCGGATAAGTTCACAACATTTTCTACAAGCTATCCCAAATTTGCTTTATTTTTCCCAATCCTATTACATGAAGTAAATTCTAACTTTTTAATAATACTCAATAGTCATTGATAAAATATAAATTATATTTCTTAGTCTCAAACATCAGCTTAAATTTTATTGACTCGTGTTTTATTTCCCAATCCCATTACATGAAGTAAAGTTTAACTTTTTAATAATACTCAAATAGTCATGTTCGTCTCATGCCTCCATTCTTTGTCACCCTAGTTTTTTCTTGTTTATTTTGGGTTACTATAGACCTTCTAGGTGGTGGTAAGCTTAATATATTTCTCGATTTCAACTAACTATTGATTGTTGGTTTGCATAAATCTCCATTAGTAGGTGTAAGTAACCTTTCACCTACTAATGGAGATATATTATAACCAACAATCATTATTCCATTCCTAGAGTTTGGGATTTGTGTTACATTGATTTCTGATGGGAAATTTATACAATACTCCGTAATATTGTGGCAACTGTTAGATTTTCGTCTACAATCAATTAAATTAGATCAAAATCCACCTAACACGTACTTTCTTAGACTCAATTGTCACAAATTAAGAAGATAAAAAATGGACGGAGCAAATTGGAGAGTCACACTTTACTTGAACCATTTTTTTTTTTTTTTTTTTTTTGGGATTAAACTTTTTACTTTAACTAGATCAAAGCAACATGATTCATGGTTTTTAATTTTTATCAACAAAATGAGCCTACCCCCAACTTAATAGCCTAGAGAAGTTTTCCACAAAAATTACAATGGGTGTGTGCTATTTAATTTCAAAACCACCTAGAACATGGCTCAAGGGCCCAATCTTTTTAAACCCTTGAGCCTATATCAATGTAAGGCCCAAATACCCACCAAAAAATATAAGACCCAAATACTCTATTTAGCCGGAAAGAGCCATGGTCTTAAACACATATCACATCGTCACCCGTAATATGGTATTTAGAGAGCCATAAGTGCAAGTGATGACTGATGAGTATCGACCTCAGATCACCTGGAATCGAGATGGGAACTCTAACCAATTGAGCTATTTATCACTCTCTTTTTAATAATGTGAATCGTAGTAATAATAATATGTTTGGTAACGATACTTGAAAAGGACTTATAAGTTAGTATAACTGATAAGTTCATTGTATTTAACATATATAGTAGCTTAAATTAATAAAATGCATGCTACATAAAAAAGACACATCAAGAAGACAAGAAAACAAACACTCCCTCTACGAGTCCTTGTGTTACTTTACGCATCTATGGGCAATTAAAACAAATGGGGGATTTACAAGGGAGAGAAACCCATAAGCGTACTATTGGAGCCCAAAGCGAGGTTTTGTGTTAATTAGCAATAACAGAGTTAACCTGCTTGGATTTGAAAAAGAAAGATCTTTCTTTTATCAATGTAAGACAAATGATACTCACACTTACATTTAACCATATGCATTTTATCTACGCTCTAAATGTTCATTTTGAAATGGCAAATTCAAATTTTAGAAGGACCGTTTAAGAAATTTTAATTGCACAAGGTCTCCATAAAGATCATTGGAATGACCGGCATTCCCACCCCTTAGTTTAAGTTGTTTTGATTGATTTATTTCTTCTACTTCAGTTTTTAACGGCGTATGAAATATGAATTGTCGTAGACTAGTAGAACCTAGTTACAACAATTACAAGTATTTTGAAATGTAGAATATATATAATGTCAGATAATGTAAAACTCCTTGATTAGAGTGATTTCCATTGATTAATATTTGTAGGGTTATAATGAGAAACCTAATCATATTAGGTAACTATAAGATATGTACAGATATTAAAGATAATTTTATACAAAATATATACTAAACCTAGGATGAGAATATTCTATGGATATTTTCTATCACACCCCCGCAGTCAGAGAGGGAGAAAATCGGATGCTCAGACTGGATCTGAATCACGCATCGAACTATAAGGATAGTATAGTAACCCATGATCAAAAGAGAAGTAGTAGACGTGTGCTAGTGATGACGATGAAAAGCAACAACCACGACCTACATATAGTAGAGATATGCGCTTTTAGGCCAAAGGAGAAGAGTCACGCATATACTTGGGCCAAATATCATCGGGGAGAAGACACTACATTACTACGTGAAATCACAGTTGAAGAAAAACAAATAAAATTGCGCAAGAAAAGATTAAATCCCACCGCTTGAAATTAATCAATTCTCAAAAGAGAAACCAGGTAGCAAGAATTAATACTCCACAAAGATTCCAAGTGCTGCAACAATAAAATGAGCTAACTTGATAGCAAAAGAGATGTGCAAAAGTTGACCTTATTGTGATATACCACCACCAAAACAAAATCTATGTGATTATGTGTAAAAAAAGAAAAACCAATGAGGCAATGTAAGAATCAATGTTGGTCATGGGGAGGTGGAAATAGAGTGCGACACATGGAGTAGGTTGGAAGATGTGGTTACTGCCAGTAGTGGGAGGCGGTAGTGTATGCAATTGCCAACAACAATGGAGGAGGCGCAAGGTTACATAAAGATTCTAAAAAAAACTTTGAGAAAAGAAAAAAAAAAATCTATATGTGTGTTTGCGGAAGCATAAAAAACTTTGTATATCCCGCCGGTGGGTTTAATTTTCTAACCCACCGGCAGGGTGAGAATTTTTGTATATGTTCCCAAGATCTAACCTAAGCTGTGATACCATGTTAGAGGACCATCTCTACCAAAAGCTTAAACTAATGGTTGAAGCCCAGTAATATGTTTTATACTCTATCACTCCCCCTCACGTGAAAGGCCCTTTGAGCTTGAAATGTGGATGCAACACAGGCCCACCCTGGTGCGAATTAATTCCACTTTGAAGGAGGGGCGGATGAGATTCGAACCCGTGACCTTTGTGTCACGTTGGCTCCGATACCATGTTAGATAATGTAAAACTCCTTGATTAGAGTGATTTCCATTGATCAATATTTATAGGGTTACAATGAGAAACCTAATCATATTAGGTAACTATAAGATATGTACAGATATTAAAGATAATCTTATACAAAATATATCCTAAACCTAGGATGAGAATATTCTATGAATATTCTCTATCATATAATATACTACTTTCGTAAATTTTTATGTGCAACTTTGGAATATTTTATATCTCACAAATAATACCCCAAAGTTGCACATAACATTTAACGAAGATAGTATATAATTCTATAAATGTAGTTGAGCTATGATATTGGAATGAGCTATATACTATGATGAAGAGAGGAAGCAATATTTGCATGTTGCCAAAGATAGGCAATATATTGTCTCCATGAAAAGGTTAAGGCAATGGCCCAATTCAAGCATCATCCAAAATCCAATGATCGTGACAAGTCCAAGGATAACGCCAATAGAAGAGTAGTAAGGGGACCATGAAGGCCATTCACTGCTGATCGATCGATCGAGTAGCCACTCTCAAGGCTGCCAAGAGCCAGCAACAAGGCTGAAGACAAGGCCCGATGTCGGGTCACTGATCGACTAGGTGAAAGACAAGGCTCTTGAGAAGAGAAATGGAAGGCTAGCTCCAAAATTCTTGTTAAGAATTCCAAGACCATAGGAGGTCCATAACGGCATGTTTAGAATTGTATGAAATTACATACTTAGTATGTGCAAAGCTCCTTAACAATGAAATTTCATGTTGATAATCTATGGTTTGTTGTTTTAACTCAATTTTACGTTACAACTAACAATTTAGTGTCTTAAGTAAAACATCATCTTAATAGAGTTTGTGATAGAGTATAAAACATATTCCTATGCCTCAACCATCAGTTTAAGCTTTTAGTTGAGATGGTCTTTTAACAAAGTGGAATTAATTCGCGTCGGGTATGGGAGGGCCTGTGATGCATCCACATTTCAATTTCAAAGGGCCTTTCATGTGAGAAAAAGTGATAAGAGTATAAAACATATTCCTAGGCCTCAACCATCAGCATAAACTTTTGATTGAGATGATCCTTTAACAGTTTGGATGACACTTAACTAAAAATCTTTTAATCTTATTAATAAAAATAAAAATTGAAAGAACTTCATAGAGATCAATGTGCATTTCTATCATTCTGCTTTCCTTGAACAACCACGCACCTACCTTCTTATGGTTGCTTTTCCTTATTTGTTACTACAATGGAAAGAAAATAAATCTACATTTTTCATTACAGATAACTGTCAGATAAGAAATGATAATAAAATACTATAAGTTCTCCCGATTTAATTTCAAGGGTTTATTCTCAATAGTTTACTTTAAATAAATAAACTCTAAATACTACCTCCGATTCAAATTACTCGCAACTTTAGAATATTTTATATCTCACAAATAATACCCCAAAGTTGCGAGTAATTTGGACCAGAGGTAGTAATATACTACGGATTCCCTTCCCCCGCTTCTACTCCACTATAGTAAATGGATAGGGTAAGTTGAGCCCAAAATACTTCATACATAGTAACAATAACCCCACCACAAAGAATTTGCAGTAACTCATAAACTAATTCAAAAGTATACTTATTATTACTTGTTAGGTGAGATATCAACCATTTATAGGTGAGAAAAGTGTACGAGTAGCTTTCTATCAATCAAAAATCAATGCAAAAATCAAAAGCACAACTCAATAAGCATACATGATACATATACTAATCATTACAAATAAACATAATGAAATTTGCATGTCAATGCTCAACATGTAAAATGAGTAACTAACTAGTACAACAAACAAATTAATCCATCAACAACATAACATAATTAGATTTATTTATGAATGAATAGATTATTCAAAGGGAGAACGTTATTATATATTAAGCTAAATAGAGGCTAATAACAAATTAACAATGATATAATTAGTATTATATCTTTAGAAATATAAGAAAGATTATATTAACAAACCATGATTCAATTGGAAAGGGCGGTAGCTTAACTAGCTTAGGCTTAATCAAGCTAAGATAGGAAGGCCACCATAATCCATCATACAAAGCCTTGATTCATCCATAAGACCAGGGCTTAACCTAAACATGAGAATACAAAATTCCATTTGACTAAGAGCTCCATCTCCATCAAGGTCTCCTTCTCTAAGCATGCACAAAAATTCATCATCTCCCATATCATTCAACCCCAACAAAAAGGAGTTCCTCTTCAAGCTTTCGAACGTGATAACCCCCTTTTCGACATCCATCAACAAAATAAACCCGTTGCATAGCTCTCCAACAAATGCTTCCGCCCCTAACCTAGCAACCATTGATGGGAAATAGTCCTCAAAATCGAGCAATAAGTCGATTAGGGCCATTTTTGTGTGTGTGTGTTGAATTGAAGTTATTAAGTAAAGGTAGTACTAGAGGTATTTAGAGAAATAATAGAGATGGATAGAATGAATAAAAGAGCAAGCTATTGTATGTAATCTTTGAATGTACTAGAAATAAAGTAGTGATGACTACTACAAAATGACAAGTGAATAATATACTTGATTTTGATGATGAGATTCCTTTTTTATTATTGATCATTTAGCTATATTTATGAGTGTTGTGCGACAGCGGAAGCAAAGGTCGAAAACAAACAAGAAAACAATAAAGAAATTCAATGCAAACAATAAGAACAACACCAAGAATTTACGTGGTTCACTATCGATGTGATAGCTACGTCCACGGGCACCGAGATCGAATGATTTCACTATAAACTGCAAAGATTACAAAGATGATTCTTGTATTTCTCAAGAACGGCTCTCACTCTCTCTCTCTTAACCCTTATACTAATATTAGGGAGGTTTTATATTAATCCCTAAAATAAAAGATACTTGGGCAAAAAAGATAACATAAAAGATAACTTTAAATCGTAAAATCCGCGTCTCCGCATTTTTCCTTCTCCGCCCGGTCAGACCGGGCAAGGTCTGCCCGATCGGGCGCGAGAAGAAAACTCCATACGAATGCTTCAACGTATCCAACCCCCACCGCCCGGTCAGACCGGGCAATGTCCGCCCGATCGGGCGGACAAAGCTACGAAGTACGAGTCACCTAATACTTATCAACAATCTCCACCTTGACGAGAACTCGTAGTCAGCAAACGACCCCATCAAGACATAGTGGAAAAACATCTCAAGCCAAACCCGATGCAAGACTCATGCATAAGCCATACATCCCGATAAGTCTTCAACCAAGACCCATCACATACTCGTCTCCAAGTATAACAACTCATAATGCTCCACCTGCATCACAAGCCCCGGGCAAGCTCCACCTTAAGGCCAACACACCTACACCAGTAGCTCCCCAACTTCGCCCCTCAGGGCCTACTACATCACGTAGTAATCAATATTTAGCAAGTCTAAGCAATGTTTAAACTTGCTAAACGGAACAGGCTTAGTGAAGAAATCAGCCGGGTTGTCAGCAGTCCCAATCTTCTTCACCTTAATCCTCTTGTCAGTACGCAAGAAATGATACCTGACATCAATGTGCTTCGTCCGATCATGGTGTACTTGATCTTTAGCTAAGCAAATCGCACTTAGACTATCACAATACACTGTAGCAAAATCCTGTGCAATACCCAGTTCACCTACTAGGCCTTTGAGCCAAATAGACTCCTTAGCTGCAGAAGTTAAAGCCATATACTCAGCTTCAGTAGTTGACAACGTAACTGATGACTGCAATGTAGACTTCCAACTAACCACAGAACCACCCAAAGTGAACACATAACCAGTCACAGACCTCCTGGTATCCACATCAGCTGCATAATCAGAATCACTGTACCCAGTGACCAAGCATTCCCTACCATTCCCGTACACAAGACCAATATCAGTTGTCCCTCTCAGGTAGCGAAAAATCCTTTTCACCCCTTGCCAGTGTTCCCTCCCAGGTCGAGCCATAAACCTGCTTACAACACTAACAGCATGCGCAATATCCGGCCTAGTACAGACCATAGCATACATCAAACAACCAACCGCGTTTGCATATGGAACTCTAGACATATAAGACAACTCCTCCTCTGATTGAGGTGACATAGACAAAGACAACTTACAACTAACAGTAGTTGGCGTACTTATAGGCTTCGATTTTTCCATCCCAAAACGAGACAAAATCTTTTCAATGTAGCTTTTCTGAGTCAAGAAAAGCTTACCTCTAGCCCGATCCCTGTAGATCTCCATACCCAAAATCTTCCTAGCTGCACCCAAGTCTTTCATGTCAAACTCCGAGTTAAGCATCTCCTTTAATCTAGCAATATCAGATTTATTCTTTGTGGCAACCAACATGTCATCAACATATAACAAAAGATAAATCATGGAACCATTATCCAGCTTACTATGATACACACAGCAATCATATGAATTCCTGTCAAAACCTTGTGAAACCATAAAAGAATCAAACCTTTTGTACCACTGTCGGGGGGATTGCTTAAGTCCATACAATGACTTTAGCAATCTGCAGGCATAGTGTTCCTTTCCAGGAACTTCGAATCCTTCGGGCTGCTTCATCAGAATCTCCTCCTCCAAATCGCCATGAAGGAAAGCCGTTTTAACATCCAACTGCTCCAGCTCAAGATCAAAATGTGCTACAATTGACAATAACACACGGATAGAAGTATGTCGAACCACAGGTGAGAATATCTCAACAAAATCAACCCCTTCTACCTGACTGAACCCCTTAGCAACTAGCCTAGCCTTAAAACGTATTTGCTCAGTTTCCGACAACCCTTCTTTCTTCTTGTAAATCCATTTACAACCCACAAGCTTCCTCCCTTCCGGTACCTTTACCAGTTCCCACACTCTGTTCTTGTAAAGAGACTGCATCTCTTCACCCATTGCGGCAAGCCATTGCGCAGACTCACTACAACTAATTGCTTGTTTATATGTGGCAGGTTCAAATGACTCTACATCATCAGCTACACTCAATGCATAACCTGTCATCGCATCAACACAACAATTTCTTCCCTCCATCTCTTCAATCAATCTAACAGGCTTCTTGATAACTCGTTTAGGCATCTCAAGAATGGTGTCAGGTTGACTAGATGACCCCTGATTAGATTGCTCCACCTCATCCCCAGAGTTAGAATGAGTAGGAGTAATCTCAGGTTCAGGAGTACCCGGCACTGGAACATCAGCATCATCATCAATATATTGTACCCGAGGTAAATCAGCAATGGTAGACTGATGTACCTCAAGTACCCCATCTGTCTGTAATAAATTGTCTCCTTCCCTTCTCAAATCTGAAATCTCTGCATTTTTAATTGAATACATGGTGTTTTCATCGAAAGTAACATCCCTACTAAGAATGACCCGACCCTCCGAAGGTGAAAAAATTCTAAACCCCTTCACACCATCCCCGTACCCAACAAAACACCCCTTCTTGGCTCGTGGATCCAGCTTACCCTCAATAACATGATAATAAGCAACACAACCAAAAATCTTCAAATTCGAAAAATTAGGCAACTTACCACTCCAGATCTCAAACGGAATTTTGGAATCAATTCCAGAATGAGGACCCCTATTAATGACATAACAAGCTGTTAACACAGCTTCACTCCAGTACCTCCTCCCAAGCCCTGCATTAGAGAGCATGCATCGAACTCTCTCTAGCAGTGTCTGATTAACCCGTTCTGCTACACCGTTCTGCTGTGGTGTCTTCCTGACAGTATGATGCCGACCTATACCCTCATCTGCACAGAACTGATTAAACTCGTCTTTGCAAAACTCTAGCCCATTGTCCGTTCGTAGCTTCTTGATCTTCCTTCCTTGTCGATTTTCCACCAAAGCTTTCCATTGCTTGAAAACTTTGAAGGCCTCATCCTTTGACTTAAGCAACCTAAGCCATGTGTATCGGGACTTGTCATCAACAAATGACACAAAATAGTGGTAACCTCCCATACCTTCAACTCTAGATGGACCCCAGCAATCTGAATGGATGTAATCGAGCACTGCATCAGTAATGTGAGCACCCTTGCTGAACTTTGACCTGTGTTTCTTACCAAACACACAATGCTCACAAAATTCAAGGTTGGCAACCTTGACCCCGGATAGAAGACCCCTCTTGGACAATAGCTGCATCCCCTTCTCCCCATATGACCAAGCCTCATGTGCCAAATCTTAGTCATCTCCTGGTGAGATACAGATGCGCAAACCGCAGAACTAGGCAGTGTAACACCCTCAAAAACATAGAGGGTGTTCCTTTTGATACCCTTAAGTACCAACTCAGAACCTCTGAAAATACACAACTCCCCATCTGAAAACACACCATTGTACCCCAAGTCATCCAGGGTACCCAATGAAATCAGATTCTTTCCTAAAGCAGGAACATGCCGTACATTAGTCAAAGTTAACCTCCGCCCATCAACAGTCCTCAACCTCATGGAACCAATACCTGTGACCTTACATGGAGCATTGTTACCGACTATAACCATACCCCCATTGCGAGGTTCATATGTATCAAACCAATCTCGACGTGGACACATATGGAACGAACACCCCGAATCTAGAACCCAGTTATCAGATAAATCATCAGACCTAGCAGAACTGACTAATGCTAAATCTTCCTCTGAATTATAGCTCTCATTCGGTTTCTCTTCAACTACAGCAGCCTGGGACTTGTTTTTCCTCACCGGACAATTATTCCTAAAGTGACCCGGTTCTTTACAGTAATAACATGTTTTAGTAGTAGTTTTACTAGATCCATCCTTGCCGTTTCCAGCACCCGACCCAGCATTGTTCCCCTTGTTAAACCCCTTATTCTTTTTAGACTTTCCGGACTTAACAAACAACCCACTACCATTATCCCCATTATCACTCGTAGCTTTCATTCTGAGTTCCCTAGTATGAAGTGCTGCCTTCACTTCTTCTAAGGTTATAGAATCCTTACCAACAACAAAAGACTCTACAAAATTCTCAAAGCTAGACGGTAGAGATACAAGTAAAATCAACGCAGCATCCTCATCATCAATTTTAACATCTAAATTACGTAAATCAAGCAAAATAGAGTTAAGTTTTTCTAGATGTTCCCGTAAGGAAGTACCTGACTGCATCCGGAGGCTAAACAACCGCTGTTTCAGTAATAATTTGTTGGTCAACGACTTAGTCATATACAATGACTCCAGCTTCAGCCACAATCCAGCCGCCGTTTCCTGATCAGCCACCTCCGTGATGATTTGATCATCAAGACTAAGTAATATGGTAGAGTGTGCCTTCTCTTCCATAACTTCTAACTGCGGGTCAGTCGGTCCATCTTCTGACTCCGAAGTAGTACTCTTTGGAGCCAACGGACGCCATATCTGCTGTTGTTTTAACAGAGCCTTCATCTTAATTTGCCATAGCCCGAAACTATTTTTCCCGGTAAACTTCTCAATTCTTATTGTTGAATCTCCTGCCATTGTTATCTTCAAGAAACTCTCCAAGGATTGAACCTGAGCTCTGATACCAATTGTTGTGCGACAGCGGAAGCAAAGGTCGAAAACAAACAAGAAAACAATAAAGAAATTCAATGCAAACAATAAGAACAACACCAAGAAT